TATATATATATATGTTAAGTAACTATGATAATTAAAAAATATTTTATTTTTAATGTGTATGAGTATATTGCTTGCATGTGTGTAAGCGCACCCATGTCGTGCAATTCCTGCAGAGGTCAGGAGAAAGTGTTTGATCCCCTGGAACTGGAGTTTCAGATGGTTGTTAGTCACCATGTGGGTGCTGGGAATCAAACCTGAGTCCTTTGCAAGAGCCAGCTCTCCAGCCCCCTATTCATTTATTTTTGAGACAGGGTCTCAGTCTCTAGCCTAGACTGACCTGTAACTTACTATGTAGTTCAAGTTGGTCTCAAACTCTCAGGAGTCCTTCTGCCTCAGTCTCCCCAGTGCTAGGTTTACAGGTATGAACCACCTGCTTCTTTTCAATTTAATGATTAAATTAACACTGAATGAGGTGCATAACCCCAGCATTCTGGAGGTGGTGCCCAAGGATTTCAAGTTGGATTTCAAGTTGGAGTCTGGACTGGGCTACACAGCAAGACCCTGGCTCAACAGATTATTTTTTTCAAGACAAGGCTCCATATAGCTCAGGCTAGTCTTAAATTTGCTATGTAGCTGAGGATGACCTTGAACTCTTGATCCTCTTGCTTCCAACTCCCAAGTACTGGGATTACAGGAGTATACTACCAATGCCTAGGTTTAAAGAAATTAGATTGGTAAGCACTGGTATCTAGTTGTGGATTTAGTATAAGGGAATAAATTAAGAAAAATTAAAATACCTCTTATACCCTGTACAAAAAAATTTTTTGGTCTTTTTTTTGTGACAGGGTCTCCCTATAGCCCCAGCTGTCCTGGAACTCACTATGTAGAGCAGGCTGGCCTTGAACTCACAGAGATCTGCCTGCCTCTGCCTCCCAAATGCTGGGATTAAAGGTGTGTGCCACCATGCCCGGCCCCCAAAATTTTTAAAATATTTTATTTATTATTTTTGTTTTTTGTGTATTGCCTGCAGGTATGAAAGTTCACCCGTGTCATGTAATGCCTACAGAAGTCAGAAGAGGTCATTGGATTCCCCTGGAACTGGAGTTACAAATGGTTGTTAGCTGCCATGTGGGTGTTGGGAATCAAACCAGGTCCCCTGTAAGGCAGTCAGTACTCTCTTAATCACTGAGCCATCTCTCCAGTGTCCCCCCCCCAATTTTTTTGAGACAGGGTCTCATGTAGCCCAGGTTAGACTCCAACTTTCTATGTAGCAAAGGATGACCTTGAACTTACGTTCCTCCTACCTCCACTCCCAAGTGCTGGAATTGCAGGCATGTGTTACTACATCTGGTTTATGAGGTGCTGGGGATAAAATGAAGAGATTTGTTCATGATGGGCAAGTAACTGAGCTATAACCCTAGCCAACCTAGTGTATATTAAATGCACACTATTTTTTAATCATTTAAAAATACTTATTTATTAATTTTTATTTTATGTATTTTGAGTGTTTTGCCTGCATGAATGTAAGTGCACCATGTGTGTACAATGTCCATAGATGCTAGAAGAGGGCCTCATTAGATCCCCTGGAACTAGAGTTACAGATGGTTTTAGTTGCTATATTGGTGCTGGGAAACAAATCTAGGTCCTCTGCAATGGTGCTCTTAGCTACTGAGCCATCTCTCCAGCCCCCAATGTGCACTATTTAATGACTAAAAGAAGAGCTTGTGAGATGGTTTATTGGGTAAAGTGCCTGCCACCAAGCCTCACAAACTGAGTTTGAGCCTCAAAACTCCCATGTTGGAAGGAAATAACTGACCCTTGAAAGTTATCCTCTGACCTTCACATGGATGTGTGCGCGCGCACACACACACACACAAGTGAAAGTGGAAAAGTTGACACACCTTTATGAAAGAAGGAAAGGAAGGAATGAATAAAGGAAGGAAGGAAGGAAAGAAGGAAGGAAAGAGGGAAATACAGGGCTGGTAGATACTAAGGGAAAAAGAGCAAGGGTCACCAGTCACATACACATGTGACATGCAAGGATAAAATAAACAGAGTATCTTTGCCAAAATGGCCTCTAACACTCCTAACTACTCACTGGGTCCCATTCTTGAACATAACCCTGGCAAAGATGTCACTTGCATAACCCTGAATATCTAAAATGAGTCTGGTAGATTCCTAAACCATTTTTCCCAGAAAGCATTTCAAAATTACCATGGGACGTTTTTGTTGTTTTGCTTTTGTTTTTAGTTTTTGAGATAGATCTTACTACATAGCCCAGGCTAGCTTCAAATTCACCATGTAGTCCAGATTGGCCTTGAACTCATGGTGCACCTCCTACCTCAGGCTACCAAGTGCCAGGATTGTATGTGTGCCAGCAAATTCATAGAAAGGCTCTTGGTTTGAGGGCTTTTCAGCTTTTTGCCTAATTCTTCAATATGCTCCTGATTCCTGCAGTTCTGGGTGATGTTGTTAGCAAACACTGGCACTGTTATTGTTTTTCAGCAGGCTCAACAGGGGAGCTAACTGGTAGGCCAACTACCCCAGTGGGTATATTTGCCATTCTCAGCACCAGTAGCTGCATGCTGGCTCTATTCTACCTCTCCTAAGGGACCACTCGATTGCTAAATGACAGTTGATTTACTATAAGTACAATCAGTATTGTCAATCAATTGCATTGTTTTTGGTTCTGTTTTTAGGAGCTTTTGAAATAGGGTCTCTTCATATAACCCAAGATAGCCTTGAACTTAGAGCCATCCCGCCTCATCCTTCAGAGTTGCTGGAATCACAACAGTGAGCTACCAAATTCAGCTCTTTGTGTGTGTGTGTGTGCCCGTGCATGGCACAGCAGCCAGAAGAAGATATTTGGTATCCTGTTGTATCATGCTCCACCTTATTCCCTTAAGCTCAGTGAACCTGGAACTTGCTGTTTTGTCAGCTAGGCTGACTGAATGGTTGCAAGCCCTAGCAGCCTAGCTTTTTACATGGGTGATGGGGATCCGAACTCAGGTTCTCATGCTTTCAAAGCAAGCAGTCTTACCCACTGAGCCATCTCCCCAGCTTTTGACTCTTGAAGATTAAGGTTTCAATGGTATCCTTTCCTCTCATCTTAATGTGCTGAAACTGCAGTGTTGGGGGCTGTTTGTTTGTTATGTACACTGAGCTGTGTCAGGCTTGTTTACTGTTTGTGTTATGCACACCAGTATAGGGAGCGCGCGCGCTGGGCGCTTGGGGTCCCTGCACGCACTCTTAGGAATGGCACGGTGGGTCCACAGGCTTCTCTGCCGTGCGCCTGGAGGAAGGCGGGTCTGGCCCCGCGGGCTTCTCTGTGTCTCTGTGGGTCTCTGCTGCTGGAGCGTTGTCCAGCCGTGTCTCCACCCTGATTTCACCCGTGT